ACCATCCTGGATGTAGATGTAGTCCACTCTGTGGACTGAGATCTGACATTGAACAGGAAAGGAAAAAATGAGACAACAAGCAGAGTGATAGCATCCATTTGCCTGTTTCCTGACTGTGGATACAATGTGAAGCCCATTATAAGCAGTGCTTCTAAAGGTCACACGGCATTACAACAATAGTAGATAAATCCGGCCCACAGGCCTTTGAGATTATTGACTGCTGCTTAAGCTCAACAGCTTATTTACATTCCAACAGTAACATACATGGCTTCACCCTCTGATCTAGAAATTCATTATTTTTTTTTAGATGAATTTTTAGATGTGCTTTTCCAGAGTTATTTTTTGATAATTTTATTTCTTAGCACTCACATTCTTCATACTTCATGTGTAGACAAGTTATGTGTGCATATGTAGAAATTTGCAGTTGCTATTTGTGACTCTTAATATTGACTATCAACTTGATGGGATTTGAAGTCACCTAGGAGACAAGCTTTGGGTGTGTCTTTGAGAATCCTTCTGGAGAGGTTTAGCAGAGGAGGGAACACCCTTCCTGAATGTAGTGGCACCATCCCCTGGGCTGTTTCTGAGACTGGATAATAAAGAAAATTTGAAAAATTGAGCTCAGGACTAGCTTTCATCTCACTCTAAATCCTGACTGTGGATACCATATGGTCAGTCATCTCTCCCTCCAACCTCTGATATTCTCCACAATGGTGAACTACACCCTTAAATTGTGAGCTTAAACAAACCCTCATTTCCTTCCTTGATTGCTTTTGTCACAGCAATGGAAAAAGTAACTCATTTAGCTATGGCTACAATTGGACATGTTTAGGTCTAGGGCCAGTATACAATTTATCTCTATATAATAAGAAGATGAAATTGAGACATGAAGAATTTTAGAAGGTAGCATAAAAGCAACATATTCATTAAATAAACAACAGTCCTAGGTATTGCTTCTTCATCATAATATGTACCTGGAATTGTTCTAGGTTAGTGAATTAATTCAGTTTTGCACCCTTACTGAGGCAGACACTGTCAGGATTACATGTAATAAAACAGAAGTAATTAATGTGCTGTGGTGATATCTTGCTTGTACAAATAAAGCCTGTCTGAAGGTCAGAGAACGGAGCTTGCCAGAAGCTAACCATAGAGGTCTGGAGGTCTGTACAGACAGACAGGAAGTGAGATAACTGGGCATATAAGCATATAAGCACAGCATGAGTCAGGTGCTATATCTAGATATGTTTCACAGTAAAATAATACACAGTAAAATAATACTGAAGAAATCCTATGAAATCCAGTAGCTATTGTAATACTCAACCTCATGATGCAGAGGGATATGCAAAATCATACAGAAGTTAAATGGCATGTGGATATGATGTGGCCTGTAAGTGTCGGTTAGCATTAGAGACCGTATTTTGCTTCTCTGGAGGTAGTGGAACTGGTGTTTTCACTCCTGTCCCTAGGAACCAAAGTCTGTGCATGGCCATAGCACACAAATGTCAGTATTGAATTATTTAAGTTTGAGATTGCAATAAACCTCAAAAAAAAAAAAAAAAAAAAAAAAGGACCGTTTTATAAAAACTCACTTTGCTTTTACCTTTAAAAATCCTCTCTAAAATATCAACTATTTTCTTGCAAGTTAGGTGGAACTAATCCTAACGGAGGCTATCTGCCCAGGAAGTGACGTACTCTGTCGTTAGATGATTATTAGATATGATAGATGCATCTAAAATCCTTTGACCCTGTGCTTTCACTCTGAACTCACAAAGCCAAAGTTTACTTTATTTCCCTTAGCGGATCCCATTAAGCACAAAGTGGGATAAACATCCAGCCTCTTATCTGTTCTGTATCTAACATTGTTCTAAGTTTCCTGGCAGTTATAGGCACTGTTCTTTTGTGCGTATTAACTTATACATCTCTCCTCAAGCATAAAGCATGTTTCAGATGTGTGCTGAGCAGTCTGAAATTCAGTAGGGCTAACGCTTGCCAGTTAAGTCCTGGATCTTCTTCTGGAGGCTGGCGTGATGAATGCTCTCAATTGTCAACTGGGTGGGCTTTAGAGTCTCTCAGGAGACACACACATATCTGGGAATATCGGCGAGGATACTTCCGAACAAATTTAACTTAGAAAGAAGACATATTCGGGAGATGGGTGGCACAGTACAATCTCTAGTGAGTTACTTCATCTTTGCACGAGGTGTCAGGGGACTGGGATGAATAAGAGCAGAAAGAGCGTTTGTGCAGAGCACCAGAATTCACCTCTGTCTGTTTCCTGGTGCAGAATGCCTGCCCGCTATTATTGATGACATCACTCAAACCATGAACCAAGATAAATCTTTCCTGTCTAAACTTGCTTTGGTTATCTTTTTTTTTTCACAACCAGGAGAAAATTAACTATCACAACTAGCTAAAAGGTTGGACGTGGGCCGGAGAGATGGCTCAGAGTTAAGAGTGCATACTGCTCTTCCAAAGGGCTGGAGTTCTGTTCCTAGATCGGAAGTGAGACAGTTCACAACTGCCTGTGCCTCCAGCTCCAGGGGCTCTGGTGCCCCCTCGTGGCTTCCCTGGGAATCCGCATATACACATGTACATATGCACACAGATACACATACATAGAGAAAATTTTAAAAGTGAGAAACAACCCTCATTAGGAGGATTGATGTTTAAATCCACTATCGAGCTTTATTCTGCCAAGAAAATGGATTTGGACATATCTCCCCAACTCCCCATGTCCCCGTTTCCGTCGTGATCAAGTGTGAATAACACGTGTGCCTTCTTTGTCGAGTTACTAGAGGATTTAGTGTAATCACAGAGTTAGACATTGAAAAAACTGCCTGCTATGTAAGCCTGGAATCAGAGACCTATATGATATTAGTTAAAAATAGAGGGTTTGCTATGCATAGACATTGACACAGCAGAGAAGAGCTTTAGTCTACATTCTCAAAGGACTTCCACTTAAAATTCGATTTCATATTTCTTGTGAATTGACCTATGCTTGCATTTGACTCTGGAAAGCCATAAATCATGTCACGCCATGGGCGTATAATTAGATATCAAGGGAAAAGCCGAGAGCTGCTTCGGGGAAAGGGAATCTTTTCTATTCCGTTCCATCCCAATTTAGGCTATTCAGTCACATCTTTTGGACTCGTGATCGGGTTTTCTAGAGAAGCGCTCTCTGTCCCAACGTACTACGTGCGCATGAGGGACTTTCCCCCTGCATCATCAACAGGGCCATTGATGAAACACACGGTGGAGCGGAGTCATAGACAGCCTGTAGCCGTCAGTTAGAGTGCTCTGTTTTGGGAGTCACCTTGCCGTACTCACTTGCAATATTTCTTAATTTTCTTAATAAGACACGATGGGAGATATCCGAGGGAGGCTTATTTAGATCCAATGTCTGTTATCAATTTATAGCATTACCTGCCTGGTAATCTCAAGTCAGGTTTTGTAAGAGAAAAGAAATATGCTTACTGAAGAGCAGTTAGTCTCAGATAACCCACACGACTCTGGTAATTATCACCCTCTCTGAGGGCTCTCAGAAGCCTTCTGGAGACTCATATAATCCAAGGAGGCATTAATGGTAGTGTGCCTTCTGTACCTTAAGACCTGTCTCTAATTCGTTTTGAACGTGGAGCCTTCTTTTTTTTTTTTTTTTTTTTTTTTTTTTTGTTATCTGCCACATCAACTGCTGAGGCAGGTAAAGACAGCTTTGACATTTCCTTCACAAATTTAGAGTTTTGAGGTTTAATTTCTCAAGGTCAACACACATTTACTGACATCGTTTGAAACCACCTCATCTAGTTTGATATAGATCACACTTCCTGATGCCTCTCTAGCCTCTCCAGTCGAAGCTCTCACTTGGAAAAAGTCAGAAACAAAATCTGTTGTTATACCATGTGGTCTGTGTTTCTTTCTGTTTCTCTGCTTGTTCCTTCTCTAGTATCTTTGCATTTATGCCACTTTTATTCTTTCTAACTTTTCCAGATAGTTCTCCTACATCTGTGACATTTGGGGTTTCTACAAACATGTACCCTTCTTTTGAACATCAAAATTTCTATAAATATATACTGAATACCTATTAGTGCCAGGTACTGTTCCAGGCATTGAGGACACAATAGTGAAAGACACACAAATGGTCACATGAGTGCTCATGTACACACTCATGAGCACACACACACACACACACACACACACACACACACACATCCTACCCTTTGCCTCATGTGCTGCAAGTCCTTTTATAATGAAATAACCATTTCATGCTTTCCACCTAAGATGCTTTTCTTTTATTATGTTGAGCCTTGGGTAGATGAATGTCATTTCACCCTTCTGAGTTATTTCTTTGTAAGGATTTTCTAAAATTTTTATGTATGCAGGTGTTCCACCGTGATAATGTGTGTGTTTGGTAGTAGTGGTCAGAGGAGTCTGTCGGATCCCAGTGGATGTTTATGCATGGTTGTGAGTTACCCTATGGGTGCTAGAAACCCAAGACAGGTCCTCTGCAATAGCAGCAAGTGCTATTAAGCATGAACCCATCTTTTCAGCCTTTTGAATTATTTCTTAAATAGAGTCTTGGAGTCTTGGTGCTGGGGTATCATTATTGAAGTCTAGAGTCTGAATATTTATGCCTGCATCTAGATATTTATTAGAGCATTTCTCTCCTGTAATGTTTCTCCAGTGTTAACAGATTAGAAAAAGTATGAGATCAGTAGGCTGTGTCCTCATTTATCCTTATTATGATTCTTTTTTTTCTTTTTAGAGACAAGATCACATGTAGACAAGAAAGGCCTCAAACTTGCTATGTAGCCAAGGGTCATATCTTTTATATGTTTCCATTATTGGACTTGGTTATTTTTTCATGGACTTACCCACATGTGGGTTTCATGGAAAACCCACAAAACGTTTTGTTAGTGCATAACAAGCTGCAATTTAGCTGACCTCTCTCTTCTGCATGCAGTCATGTTTTATTGCTAATTTAAAATGCTATTGTCTTCTAGGAATAATCCTACTTTGGTCTCTGGCATCCTAGTGGTATGGACATGGAGCATGCTGCAATTTCCCCTGGACTTGGCAGGTAAATATATTTCTATTTGTGCAACGAAATTGTGACTCTTAAATATAAACTGTACTAGGATGAAGAAGGCAGTTGAGAAAACTCATGTTTTTATATCCTAGTGTTAGCTCTACTCCAACTTAGAAGGAGGGTAGGTTGAGACTCAGGAAAGCCAATGTGGACCACTTAGGCGTGTGCTTGAGCTTAAGATCCAGCAACTGAGCATAGCCTGTTATGGTGGTGGTTCTTTAATCCCAGCATGCTGGTAATGAGGCGGGAAGAGCAGGAGTTGAAAGCCATCCTTGGCTGTATACATAGCAAGTTTGAGGTCAGCCTGGTTTGTGTAAGATTTGGTTTCCAAAAAGACCCTTCCCCATAAACAGGGTTCTTAATTGGTCTAGATAATAAAAGACCAGAGTTAGATATACAGGAAAATGTTGAGAGATGAAAGAAAAGAGGCAAGCCACAGCACACCTTACCTCCTAAGCATCTCAGCAGAGGGGAGAGCAATTTCCTGTTTCTCCCTGCTTATATCCTGTTTCTCCTCAGCTAAGTCACTTCCAGGCCTCTATGGTTAGCTAGTGGCAAACTCCATTTTCTGACCCCCAGAAAGGCTTTGTACAAGAAAGATATCACCCCAACCCCCAAGTTTAATAATAATAATAATAAATACTTGATCACTTAACTACACTGCTTTATATTCAACTAATACTTTAATACTTATTATATATAATTCTGCCAAAATTAATTAAGAGGTATGTACCTCAGTGTCTCATCTGTGAAATGGGATGACACTCACAGCAGTTCAAATGATGTCTCAATTATATAGTGAGTACTTAGTGATCTCTTGATATGCAGTCTCCATATTTCCAGCCAGTTATGTTGTGAGACACCCCCCTTCATATAAAGTAAGAGGGGTAGTTTCAAGCCCCATGTGGAAAGTTAGTATTTCCAATAATGGCCACTTTTATTTCAACTTTAATGAATACATAAATCTTTAAGTGTTGGCAAGAAGTAAATAGTTTGGCTGGCATGCCATCATAATATTGATTTCCTATGACTGTGCTGTCCTACAGTGTGGTACCCACTAGCCACACACAGCTGGATGGATTTATATGAAATAAAACTTAAGGAACAACTCTTCAGTGACACTAGCCATATTTTACCTACTCCATGGCCATATGTAGCTCTCATGTTGGACAGCAAAATATGAAACAGTTTTGGCATCATAGAGTGTTCTATTGAATGGTTTCAGCTTGGAATCACATTGTAACTTTTTGGTCTGCTAGAAATGTGACTTGGCAATTCTTGTCCCTGGTTCTTTATTTCTGGAGGAGGCCCAGACTCTAATACTTCTTTTTCTTTATCTATTTTATTCTTTGTGAGACTCTTTCTGCTGGCTTCAGGGTGAGAATAAGAGAGAATACTTGAATTTGGGGGTCCATATTAGTAGACTCAGAGGTCTTGTAAACATTTTGGGTCTTAAGCACATAGTTTCTTAGATAAAATTGTTTCCTTAACAAATGGAAAGAGTTCCCTGCCTTTTTTCAAATTAGAAAAAAAAAAAAAAAAGAAAGAAAGAAAGAAAGATTGGCCATGGCAGTGCACTCCTTTAGTCCTAAAACTCTGAAGACAGAGACATGCAGATCTCTGGGTTTGAGGTCTGCCTGGTCTAATTTGTAAATTCCAGACCAGCCACAGCTACATATTCAGATCCTTTCTCAAACATAAATAAATAAATAATAAAATAAAAATAAAAAGGAAAATACTAATCCAATTACATATTAATAATCACAAACAAATATATGTGCAAATAAACTGCAGATGCCCTGCTGAAGTGTTCCTTAGGTACATGGTACTCGTTACCCAGCTAGAAGCCAGCCAGCTGCTGTTCTGCTAGACTTCTGGTCTCCATTCTTTAGATATTGACTAATACCCTTCTGGGAGGGGGTCTGCCAGCATGGTTCCCTGAGCATGGCTTCTCAAGAAAGGCACCCACTGAACTTATGTTTGTCTTTCCTTTGTCATTCACTCCCCCTTTCCTATCTTGTGGTTCACAGACTTGCTAAGAAAATTTTTATTTCAGAAAGAAATTGTGTAAACGTTCAGAGGTGATAATGCTATGCAGCTGTTTGAAAAACAAAGACCAAATGTCACTTCTGACTAAACCGCTATTGTATTCTCCAACAAGCAGTACATTATGTTCACCCCTATCAAAGCCACTTCGCGATATTTGCACGCCCTTGCTGTATTGAGACATTCTTTGTTGGAAAACTCCAAATGGAAGGCCTTATTATTACAAAACGGATTATTTTCTACCCTTGACCCTGAATTGAATTTACATCTTTGAAATTAAAACAAAAGTTTCATCTTTTGATAGACTCTCCTTTTTGTTCAACTAGCAAAAAAAAAAAAAAAAATCTGCAATTATTTTCAGTCTTGCTTATAAATTGGGAAACAAAAGCAGAAGGAATGAGGACAAAATAAAATAATGGCCTTTATTTGAGCTCCCACACCAGACACATACTGTCTCCAACATAGAAAAATATGTTTAATGTGAATTAAATTTGAATTTGAATCCTAAGCATTTGAGTGGTGTAGTAAGTAGAGACATGCTAAAGAAAGCATCTGGCATGGTCTGGAAGGGAACTCTGTTATTCATTTATTACACTTACCAGTCAAGCAAGTCACTCCTTCCCCCAAGAGGAAGACTGAAGGAAGAAACAAAGAACAGAAAGGGAAGTGCTATTCTAACAGAAAACACATAAGTCAAGGAATACAGACCCCGGCTCAGGATTCATTCTATCCTGGGTTTCAAGGGAGAACCTGAAGTGCCTGTAGTTTATGCATCATGGCCAGTGTCTCAATGTTAGAGAGTGAGGCAGCCAGGGGAAGTACCAGGCTACCTGACTTGAGGCCCCAGGACAGACAGGTTGCCTCCCCACTCTGCAGACCCCCAAACACACACACAACATTTTCCTTTACACATCATGCTCTGTAGTCCGTTTCATTGGTCATTTCCTACAGGGAGGCTGGAAGATGCAGAACCTTTAAACTGGATGGAACCATGTGGCCAGGATGTGGAGGCCTGAGGTGGAGAGAAAGCTCCTCTGTTCTCCCTGGGCTTAAACTGCAGTCATTCTCCATCCTTCACAGCCAGACTGCCACCAGTGACTTTTCAGATGTCTATCTCCATCTTGCATTTCCAAATGTTCATTGTTGTTTCTTTCATTTTTCAGTCCAGTTGAAACTGGTATGCCCCTCCTCTGTGAAACCCAGGGGCTTCCTCAGGCTGTTCCTGTGCCAGTACAGTGCAGATCTATGGGCCATTGGCCTCAGTTTCTTCATCCAAGATGGCCCCTTCCTTGTTGTGCGCCTTGTCCTGATGATCTATTTCAAAGTGATCAACCACATGCTGGTGTTCTTTGCTGTGAAGAATTCCCTGGTGATGGCACTGCACTTCTACCGGCTGGTGGCTTTGATCATGGCCACTCGTGCTTCCATGCAAGATCATCCAGAAAGTCCCCAAACACGGCACAGCAGCCCAGATCAACCCTCTGAGAGTAGTCCCAGTGAGTGGGAGGACACCTCCAAGGAGGCCCTGCCTTTGCAAACCTCACCTGTCACCTCTGAGGAATCCTACTCCATACCTTAGTTGTATGTTCCCTGCACAAAGCCTGAAGCTTGACTTGCTTTCTTCTTATAGACTGGTTCTCTTTTCACCCCACCCAATTTTCACATTTTCCACCAATTTCATATGAAAAGGTGATCTTGTATCAAAGCCTACATACTCTTCATTTTTTTTTTTCATCTGAATGGAAGAAACTTTGACAGGTACCTGTCCTTACAACCTCCTGCGATGGTAGCAGACATTACACCATTGTAAGAACTGCTCTAAGTGATTGGTTCTTATGGAACTGTTTGGAAAGTTGTAGACAGGACTGTCATAGCACACCCTCCAAAGATTTATGGCTGACAATTACCATCCCCACCCCCACCCCTCTAGGGTGACCTGGTTGTACAGAAGCCTTTAACTGTGGCTGGACTGTCACATTGTCTCATCTGATCTCTTCATTGTATCTCTGGCATTTTTTAAAAAAAGTATATTTAATGAATGCAGAATAAATGAAGGTAAAATGCTTTTTAAAATCAACTTGCCATGGGATGGAAGCTTGGAACTCATGCCATCTGGCTTCTTCAGTGCAAAAAAAAAAAAAAAAAAAAAAAAGCCATGGTCACTGCACAAACCCTCCCAGGAACAGGAACATCCTTCTTCTGGACCAAGGTGGTTTTCTGCCATGGTACATATATTCTTGAGAATAGTGACAACTTTGAGCTTTGGTAGCACGAAGTTGACAGCAGACCATTTCCGTTCAAATACCAAGTTAGTTAACTTTTTCTGCATTGTCAAAGTGCATTCTGGCTCCAGATCGGTTTCAGGAACAAGTTGTTGGAAGTTGGTGCCAGCCTCATACACCGGGCTTCCATCAATGTTGAGAGTCACCGGATACCACCCTATCAACTCCTGGGAATCATGGTGGCTTTGTTTTCCATGACATAAATAGTCTTCATCTTTCTTGACACATCTCTGTACATTCTGTGTGGATGATTCCAAACCTTTGAAAGCAGTTCTTGCTTATAAATGTGTGGTGAAAACTGGACTTGGCAACCTAGCAAACAACTCTAAAACTGGACTCTTAGAGTTCAAGACATCAATCAACTTACACTAGTATTCCCAGGAACTCAGAGACATTTATTCAGGGAGGTTCCTAAACTGGATGCGTGACCATTAGATGATCAACTCCCCAGGGTTTGCAATGCCCTCTTCTGGTCTCTATGGGCATTTGCTACAATAATGCATGAATGCATGTACACACACACACACACACACACACACACACACACACACACACACACAAATAAATAATAGAAATATTTTCAAATAAAATATTTAGCAGTGGGAAGCAAAATGGGAAAAATGATAAAACCTGATATTTGTCAAACTGCCTTAGCCTTCTCTTGCAATGGTGGTTGCTTTGCATTGCATACCTTTGCCCCCAACATGTATGTGCCACTCCTTATTGCCTGTTTGCTCACAGCATATTTTTCTCCAGAAAACAAACACTGGGCCTCTAAAAATAGAGCATAAAGTAGTATGACTGTTGCAAGGATATTTTTAAGTGCTTTCAAATCTGAGGCTTGGCTTGGTTTCATGAAAGACTTTCTAGTGTTTAAATAAAGTATTTTGTAATTAGGCCTCCTTCTCGGGACTGTCCAAAATCTGGCTTAACTTAGAATGCCAGGAAGTCAGTGAGCACCCAGGACCAGCTTGGTAATTAATGGATGGTCAAAAATAGACACACAGTCTTCAAGGCTTTTCCAGGAAAATCCGCTAAAGGCAACATTTAACCTAACTGCCAGTGTTTCCATTTCCTTATGCTGGCTGCTTTGATCATAGCAAAAATGTCTGTTGCTTAGTCTAGGTTTTATCTGTGATGAAAGTTAAAAATGTATTCAGTTAGTTGTATGTTTGTAATTATTACTATTATTTTACCCTTTAAAATTATGTGTTTTTGTTGTATACTGGTGCACGTTGTAATGTTTTTAGATCTCTAAGCACTCAGAGCATCACTCATCCCACATTTGTTGGCATCTTGAGACATGTTTACATTTTATTTGTAGTAAGATAGCTTACATCACTTAGGATGCAGACTCCACCCTCAGCCCCCCAGCTGTCATGCAGGGCAAGTCCCAATCCCTGAACAGGAGGGGACTTCACTTGCAGTTGTTGAAACCATTGCTTGTTGATTAAGACTCGATCAAATAGCCTTCCTGTAAACGTGTTTGTCCACTTGGGAGAAAGCCTAGTGTCCATGTTTACATGATGCTGTATGTGAACATACCTCAGGGTCCTCTTATGCATGATGCATATTGACAGAGCCTTAAATGCCACAATGCTGTGCTTAGGACAAACATACTGTGCTGTCTTTGGTTATTCTGCCAAGTTCTGTTGCAGTTGTAAGTGGCAGCATTGGAATGTGGTGGCTTGAACTGGTCAATGACATTAGATATCTAAGAGAATTCTGCCACTGGGTCTGTTGTTCCACCACAGACCCTTCAGCAGCCATGAAGATATGACCAGAGGACAGTGAGGCTGGCTACTATCAACGAGTCTCCTTATTCAATAGGAGCCTTTCAGAGTTCTGAAAAGGTGTGAACATGCGACGATTTCCATGGTTCTGAGTGGAGTGGACTCTACTCATCTTGGGTCTTTAGTATCAAGAACTCTTAGCCAGATTCTCCAGTTAAAAGAGAACTGTTGAGGTGAGGCCCATCGACCTCCATTCCACTCCTTAAAATAGATGGCAGAACCTCACAGATCAAACAGCCCTGAACTGTGAGATAAAAAGACACTGTTAGTTCCTTTGCTGTCTTCTAATTCTAGGGTTTGCTTTTCACATAAGGGGACTTTTGATCTGTTCTCAGATATATCTGATTAAGGCTGAGACTAGGCAGCTAGAGGTTCCATATAAATTTCAGGATGGGAAGAGCAGCTTGACAATGATGGAGGAATGAGCCACCATGGCCTTCTACCTTATCAGCTTTTATCTTTGAGGTCTTTTTTACTGAAATAACATGTGAGTGTATTTTCTGTGAATATTTCTATATGTTTGCTGTGACTGGCCTTTTTGTTTTATTATGGACATTAAATACTTGTGTACAGCTTTCCCCCAATGACTATTTTTGGTTTTTGCCTACTTTGTGTGCTTCTCTACTGTAATTCATTTCTTTCATGGGTTTAAAGCTCTGGCTTAATAAGTAATACTGATCTATTTAGAAGATGATTAAAGTGGCATTTCCAAACAGCTAGCAAAGAATGACCAATTTTATAAATGATGTTGGAAAATGTTGCTATCCATCTGGAAAACATAAAGTGGGATTTTTATCTCATGAAATCTATAGAAATAAATTCCAGATGGATTAAATCTCATTGTAAAATGAAAACTATAAATATTGGATGGAAATACAGACTGTGTCTTGAGCATGTGGGGGATGGGCAACTTTCTCTGAAACAAGACCTAAAACTCAGAAGCTATTAAATGGCAGGCTTTTCTACATGAATACTTCACATTTCTGAATGGCAAAGGATGTAATGAACATACAATTTGGAGAAAAAGAAACAAAAAAAAAACTGTTGCAGTCAAGAAAGAGAAGGGTAGGTATTGAGAAGGAAGAGCCAAAGGTATATTTATCCATAAATGTCTGAGCACCTAAAATTATTGACCTAAGTGACAATTCAATAACTTAAAAGTAAACAAATCCAATAGCATGTATGATCGATCAACATACAACAAACTTTTGAACAAACTTTTCTTATAATATGAATTAAGCCCTTAAAATGTGTAAGTTTAAACTTCAAAATTTTGAGGAATGTTTCAAATGATGCTGAGAGTCAAAAATAAGTACATTACCAAGTAGCCACATTCTACTGGGCAGTAATAAGAGGCACTGATAGTTTAGAAATACCAAGGTCTCCTAAATTCATCTATAGATCTAACATCATCTTCATCATGTTAGTAATAGGACTCTTTTTGCATGTATATATGAATGTACCATGCACATGTGTGTATAAATATGTGAACATGTGTGAAAGCCTTCACAGTTGTCATATGTTTTTTTCAGTTGCTTTACACATTTTAGTTGCTTTACACATTTTATTGACTAAGTCAGGATCTCTCTATGAACCCAGTACTAGCTAGTTAAGTAAGCCCAGCCAGCCACTTTGCTTGTTGCTGTCCCCCAGCATTGGGATTACCTGATGTTTAGGAAGGCATGTTCACATATCCTAAGGAATTAAATTCCGCTTCCTGCACTTATAGGGTGTGCCTTTCCCATTGGACCATCTCCCAGTTCCAGGTCTTTAATTTCTAGTGACTACTATTGATTTTAACAACAGATATTACATTCTAGTGACAACTTCTTATGCTAGAATATTTTATAATGAGATAAGCACAAAAGAACAGCTGGAACATGGATTTAAAAGACAAATGAAAGAGTGATTTCAGTATATTTAACTACATTACACAGTTACAATAGACAAGAGAATTTGGTTCTGTCATATGAATAGACAAGCCAAAAATTTGAATGGAATAAAGTCAATAAATATGCTGAACTACGTAAGGGATTTGGGTACATGATAAATCACAGGCCTGGAGTAGAATATTATGAATAGTTTAGGTTTTGTAAAATATTAAATTGGATCTTTACTTCAATCCATATGTTGAAAATACTTCCAGATGGATCAAGTGATTAAAGATTTAAAATAAAAAAGTAGAGAATGATGCTTTTGTACATAAAATGACAAGAATGACTTCTTAATAAGACATAAACAAGGATGCAGAGAAATTCACACAGCAGCTCATGGAAAATTACACATCATAAGCAAAGCAAGCTGAACAACAAACTAGGCCAACAGAATAATAAAATGAAAAATCGGGTGGATGGGCTTACAACAAGTATTCCTAAGTGTGAGTTTTCCTAAGGAATAAACAGCTCTCATAAATAAGAAAAGAAAAAAGTAAAATGCCACCAAAAGCCAGAAACATGAGTAAATGACAGCATATGATTCTATACAGAGGGAATAAAATATTGAAATAAACCACAACAAAATACCATTTGTCAAATGAAAACTAAGCTTGAGTAAGAACTTTTCACATGTGGTGCAGAAAAAGAGGACACATTTCTGATGGGAGATGTCATTCTGTATATGTTTCTCATACTGGTTAATGAATAAAGCACTGTTGGCCAATAGGAAAGGAAGATAGGAGAGACTAGGAGACAAGGAGGAAAGAGAAAGTAGATAGGAGGAGTCAG